TCCCTAACAGAAACTCCAATTCTATTTGTAAAGAAAAAAGATGAATCACTGCGGATGTGTATTGATTATCAAGGATTCAACAAGATCACCATCAATAATAGGTTCTTACTACCTTTAATATCTAGACTTCTTTATCAATTGAATCAAGCTAAGATCTATATAAAAATAGATCTACGAAGAGCATACAATCTGATACAAATCAAAAAAGAAGATGAATGAAAGTTTATATTTTGAATTAGATATAGATATTTTGAATATAATGTCATGCCTTTTGGACTTAAAAATATACTAACAACTTTTTAACATCTTGTCGATGATATTTTTTGAGAATTTTTAGATAATTTTATTATTTGCTACCTAGACAATATCTTAATCTATTCTAAGAACACAAAAGAACATGAATTTCATGTTTATTGTGTGTTACAAAAATTAAAAGATGTGGGATTCTATGCCAAGATAGAAAATTATGTATTCCACACTACTCTAGTTGACTTCTTAGGTTATATCATTTCAAATGATGGATTTATGATGGATCATAAGAAATTTAAACTATTATGTATTGGAAGATTTCAAAAACAGTATGAGATGTGTAATGTTTTTTAAAATTTTTCAACTACTATTGGATCTTCATAAAGGACTTTTCTTAAGTTGCAACTCCACTTATATATTTGACTTGTACAAATAAACTTCAGTAGAATCAAGAAGCAGAAGCAATATTTGAAGCTTTAAAGACAACCTTTGTTTTTGTACTAATCTTATATTGTGTTGAATTTTTCAAGGTATTCTTTATGGAAAAAAATGCATTGGACTTTGCTTTAAGTGCTATATTATCACAAATAGGAAGAAATAATAAACTTCACCCAATAGCTTTTTATTCTAAGAAATTTTCAATAGCCGAGATTAATTATGAGATCTATGATAAAGAATCTCTTGCAATTATAAATTATTTTTAAGAATGGCATCATTATTTAGAAGACAATTTCAATCCAGTCACTATGTATACAAACTACAAGAATCTTAAATACTTCATGTCAGCATGTGTTTTGAATTGTCGCCAAGCTTATTCGAGCATGTCTTTATCAGGATTTGATTTCAAATTTATATATTGATCTAAAAAACAACAAGGTTTGTCAGAAGCCCTTTTTAGACACTCTTATCTTACACCAAAAGAAAGAAATACAGCTTTTGATTAACAAAGATAAATTCTTTTAAAGTCAGAACATTTTCATCTTTGAGTAATGAAAACAACATTGATTGTTGATTCAACCTTTATCAAACAAATTCAATCAAGTATATCTTCTGATCTTCTTATTTATGATATCAAGAATTATTCTTTCAAGTCTTATGATGTTTCCAAATTTGAATTCAAAAAAAACTTACTTTATTTTAAAAGACACCTACATGTTCCAAAAGAAGTACGTTTACGAGTTCTTCAAGTACGCCATAATTTTCCAACAACTAGACATTTTGGATACAATAAGACTTTAAAATTGATATTTAGAGATTTTTGGTGATTGCAAATGTAGAAAGCAGTCAAAGATTTTATTCAATCATGTGATGTTTGGTCAAAATCAAAAACTCCTCGTCATTGATCTTATGGACTTCTTCACCCATTACCTATTCGAAAACAACCATAGACTTTTATTTCTATAGATTTATTACAAATCTTCTAGTCTCAAGTTTGTATGATTCTATATTTGTAATAATAGATTGTTTTATAAAGATGGCATATTTTGTACCATGTATAAAATCTATCACAAGTGAAGAAACAACCAAGCTTTTTCTTGACAATATTTGTCAATATCATAGATTGTCCAAAGATATTATATCGGATATGGAGACTCAATTTATATCAAGGTTTTAAAGAACTCTTTTAAGATTTTAAAGGTAGATATAAAGCTATCTTTGGCCTTTTATCCTCAAATTGATCAATAAACAAAGCATATAAATAAAGTTTTAGAGTAGTATTTAAGAAGTATGATTAATTAACAACAAGATGATTGAGAAACTCTTTTATTATTGGCAGAGTTTGCTTATAATAATACAAATTTAGTTTGCTTTAAAATATATATTAAAGGCAAAAGATAATAACTCTTAATGATTAATACACCAATTTCACAATAATTTACATTCATATGCAAGCATCCATGTTTGTGTAAGATTCTTTACTAATTTTTTATTAAAATATTCCTTCTAAGCAGCCAATTTGTTGTACTATAAGTTGAAATTTTTTCCTTTTGGTGGTTAGATTTTTTTTCTTTAAAATCAATTGTACAATTATAAGATCCATGTTAAAATAATACATTAGTATTTTCTTTTTTAAATATATCTTAAATTTTTGTATATTACTTTAATTTTCTATTACAATCTCTATTTGAATAAAAACTTAGTCTTGTGAAATGACAAATAATTTTTTTTTTTTTTTTTTTTTTTTTTTGGAAATTGCATAAATTCTTTGCTCCAACAAATAAGAATCAAGATGGTTTATTGCTGTTTAATCCAAATCTTGAATCAACCTTTTGTAATTTATATTTTATAATTAACTGATATAATTTAAATTAAAAAAATATAAAAGTAAAAAAACTAAGTACCTCTAGAATTGAAAGATATTACAAGAAATTAAAGATAACAGAAAATATTTGATTTGTTAATGCCATTTTTAAAAGCTTGATCTCATCTATCACTTTTTACAATGCAAGTTATTTTCTATTAATAACATCCAATAGATTTAACCAATTTTACTTTCAAAATATTAATTTATGTTGTAGTACAAAGTTTTATTTATAATACACATGGAGCTTTGATATTTACAAGCACTTGAGTTAAAAATTCACAACTTAGAGTTTTAATAATTTTATGAAATTTAAAACAAGATGTAGAATTTGATAATAGCATAAAATTTGTACTTAATAGTTGTGATTAAGAATTGTTTAATTATCAAGCTTGCTTTACAATTAAGTTTTTTTGTTTTTTAACTTTTTAAAATTTTAGTTTGTACTTAATGCCTTGAATCCATTCTATTTAATACAACAATCTTATATTTTATAACCTACTGTTTATTTTCAATCTAATAAAAAATTTTAAAATAATATATTTTTTTCTTCTTCAATGTAAACTATTTGAATTAGTTTGCATCAATTAGCATAGGTTTTGGTTCTAATAAAAAGATTTTTAAGATTTAGAAGTTCTTGCCAATACTTGATTATTTTTTTTGCAACCAAATCTATATAATTGTTACTTTTTAAAGAGTTGATTATTACATGTAATTGAATGTATGATGTATTTATTTGATAAATCTATTTTTGATATTTCTAAAAATATATATTTGATATTATTATTTAAATTAAATCAAAAGTAATTAATAATTATCTCATTTTTTCAATCTATGTCACAAGATTGTTATAAGAATTTTGTAGTACAAATAACAACTAATATTATCTTTGTTGCAAAGATTTGAGTTTCATTTTTGTAATTCTTTTTTAACTTTTTTCTAGATGTTGTTAGAGATACCTCCAAAAATAAGTTTATTTCATATAAAAGTTGCAAATTCTTCTCAATTAAAGGTGCCAAAAAAGAGAAATCACTTTGAGATAAAAATGTGTCTATTAATCATATTTGAATAAAACCATTAAGATATTAAGAAAGATAAATTATAAGAAGAATTTAACCTTTTGTGGATTCCTTGAAATTTTGATCTTATTTCATCAAACTTCATAGACATGTTGGTCTTTGATTTCTTTCTACTTATGATGGCAAGACTTTTAGAAATTACTTGTAAAGTTTGTCTATTTATACTTGTTTCTTTTAATTACATAATTTCTTTGTCTAAATATTGGATTGTACTATTGACTTTTTCTATAGATATAACAATAATATTTCTATGATAGAGATTGCTTATATATAAGATTTTTTCTTATAAAGTATTAAAAAACTTATAAAATTTTGGAATAAGTTATAAATCTATTCTCAATTCTTCAAAAGTCAATATCCACAGTTTGTTTTCTTTCTATTTAGGTGATTGACAATAGTAATCAGTACAAAAATAAAATTAAAGGAAGATAATTTGTTATATGTAATTTCAAATAAAAAATTCTAAACAAAAGAGTAGTCCACTCTTTGTAAGAAAAAAAATCAATATTTTAAAAAAATAGTATTTATGCACTTTTTTTTCAAGGTTAAAAAATAATTTTGGTACTATAAAAATATTTCTTTAAATTTAGATATTCTAAGTATTTTGAAACCAGAATTTACTTAATATTATATTATTTTTATTTAAATTCTACATAAAGTAATTGTAGTCTTATATCTAATCCTCCAAAAGTTTTAATTTAAATAAATTAGCTTCTTGACCAATAAATAGGTTTATTCATTAAAAAAATACTTCCATCTAAATATATATAGAATTTCTTAAAAGATAATTTAATAATTTAATATTTATTCAATATTACATAATAAAATAAATACATCAAAAAGTATACTCAATAATATTATTTTAAATCTCCTATTGTTGTGTATTGGTAGTAATTGTTGTGTTATTAATTGTTACAAATGTCTTATAACTTATTGTATACAAACATTAAATAATACTTATGAAATAACCATTCTACTATAATATTATTATTATTAATTTTTTTAATACTACAGTGCTAAAATAATTAATCGTTTTATTAAAATCTTTTACTTTCATACAACATATGTTACAAAGCAATTAAGTACATTATTATTTAAATTGCCATTAGATTTGATGGTTCATTTACTGTTATTCTATTCCAATTTTCCACTGCTATTCTAAAACGAGTATCCAACAATCATATCCATTCTGAATGGAAACCCAAAGTCCAACAAATGACAATAAACATCCAAATAATGGAGCATGAGAACGCACTAAAAGACGTGGCTTAAGGTGTTCAATCCTTCGATACCCGAGCGTGGGCGTCACTTCAAGGCCCTCCTCGGGACCGAGTCCTCCACCTTGAATGCCGGACCTATACCGGGTATCTAGTAATGGGCTTGTGTCTAGAGACTAGAGAGCTGCAAGCGCCTAGGGTTCACCTTGAACACACGCACAGAGTGCGGGCTCTGATATTTCACTGTTTTGCTCAACTGTGCCGATCTGCGTCTTCCTCGCATCGCCGAATCCGTCACCATGTTTCTTACCAGGTGCCGCAGCCAGCTTCCTCTCCTCTTCCTGTTTTTTTGCATCCAAAAATCGCACTCTTACATGCTGGGTTGGGTACATGTTGGGGGGCCCAGGGAGTAGTGGTGAGGGTGGCAGTCTTGATTGCCAATTCGGTTCCTGCGATTAGGTTTTCGTCTTTTGCTAGCAAGGATGTGTATGGCGCGGTTTTTGGAGTAAATTGTGAAGGATATGCGGGATGCATTTCTGCCATCTGTCGCATGCATGAAGTATGGGTTGATTGATTGTTCTTGTACTTTGTGGTTTTTTGTAGGAGTGAGTATGACAGAGGTGTCAATACGTTCTCGCCGGAGGGGCGTCTTTTCCAAGTGGAGTATGCTATTGAAGCTATCAAGGTACGAGAATTATCTGTGTTTAAATGTGCCGATCGAACTTGGACGCGCTCAAGCACTGCAGGCTTAACATGGGCATTACACGCGGAGACTGGCGGAATTGGCATATGGGCTCGTTGGCTGAGTCCAGATCAACGTGTATAATACTTGGAGATTTTTATTTTTCTTTTTTATTTTTCTTTTTTATTTTTATTTTTTTGGTAAGTTTAAGCTGGTGTTTTCTTGATTATTGTTCAATACTTGTAGTCTTTTTATCTGTATGGTATGATTCCTATTGTGCTTCTCCATGAAGTTGAACCAGTAGCATAGTTTGACCTTCCGTGAGTTTCTACCGTTTATTGGTTATTTATTGGCAAGCATGTATACAGCTTGGTTCAACGGCAGTAGGATTGAAGACCAAGGAGGGTGTTGTCTTGGCTGTTGAGAAACGAATTACCTCAGTTTTACTGGTAGGTTTTAGAATTAAGCTTCTCACTCAATCTTTGTGGGTCAGGGTTTTGAATTGCTTTTCCAATGTTGGTTGTAGAGTAGATTCTGCAGCTATTTCATGTGAATGATACATATATTGCCCACCCTTCAGTACTAATTAGGTTTGTGGACGAGTTTGAATTATTACTCTACGTTGTGTGGTTCTTTAGTGGATGCGTTCTGCCTTGATCTTGTGTTCTTTCATCTTATTGATGCGGTTAGAATTAGTCAACTCTTTTTGTCACCAACTCATAGATCGAGACATATTTTACAATTCATGGCTTGCAGGAACCCACCAGTGTCGAGAAGATCATGGAAATCGATGAGCATATTGGGTGTGCGATGAGCGGACTAACTGCGGATGCTCGCACGCTTGTTGAGCATGGGCGTGTGGAAACGCAGGTGATGTTTTGTTTTATTTTTGGTTTTGGTATGCTTTCTTCTGTTGGGATTAAACTGTGAATTCTAGAAATTTACTGCAACATGCTCTGTGTGCAATATTTTTTTTCCGAATAGCAAAGGTATCATGGTTAAGCAATCCGATACCCGAGATGTAGCTGAATAATTCGGATTAGTTTTTGAGGTGATCGGGGAGCTCACATATATCTCATGTTTTACCTGCCAAACCTTGAACAATGTACAGTGTTGCAACCACTTTTATTAAATAATATCGTATTTTAAATTTTTTCTGTGGCAAGTCTCATTGACATTAGGTTTACCATGACCCTGCGTGTTTGGTGCTGCAGAATCACAGATTCTCCTACAATGAGCCAATGAGTGTAGAATCTACTACACAAGCTCTGTGCGATCTGGCTTTGCGCTTTGGAGAAGGCGATGAAGAATCAATGGTATCTGAACAAATTATTGAAACCTGGAATGAGTTCTACCATATATTTCTTTCTTAGGAATGATATTTGTACATGTGTCGTGGCTTGTGTTGAAGATTTATTAGTATCCTAAGGCTTTTGTTGTGTTCACTGTGTAGTCACGTCCTTTCGGAGTCTCACTGCTTATTGCTGGTCATGATGAAAGTGGACCATGCTTGTAAGTGACTCTCTTTCTCCTTTTGTGGTGTTTCTTGATCCTACTGCAATATGCTTGGATAGTTGCGCCGTCTTGGACGAAGTATGTGAACTTGCGGTTGCGATTCAGGTATCACACAGACCCATCTGGAACATTTTGGCAATGTGATGCTAAGGCAATCGGTTCAGGATCAGAAGGTGCCGACACTTCCCTCCAGGAGCACTTCAACAAGGTACGTCACTGTTCTACAGTGCAATTCTTGAAATTGAGTTTTGTAATTCATCTCTACCAGTATTTGGAATAACATTTGCAAGATTCTAGTTGTATGGCACAGTTAGGTTTCACACAATTAACTAACTTGGATGATCGTGCATATGAACTTGGGAGGCTTCGCTGTCTGTTGTAACTTTCAACTGAAATTCCAGTTTTTAAGGGGTTTCTCTCTGGATGTATTTTAAACGCAGAATATGACGCTGGAGGAAGCTGAGACTTTGGCACTGTCTACCTTAAAGCAAGTCATGGAAGAAAAGGTGATAGCAGATAACCAAATTAGATCCTTGAGCACATGTTGTTCACCTTGTTTACATTTTTCCGGCTGGTTACTTGACATGGTTCAACTAGGTAGTTTTGTCGCAATTCTTTCGTGATTTTTATGATGATTGCGGGACATCCACACTGTTTGTCGCACCTGAGCACATCTTGATGTCTGAGCGGAACCATGGTCACGTCTCGTGGCAGGTAACATCTTCTAATGTGGACATTGCTAAGGTGGCTCCCAAGTATCATTTGTACTCACCCGAAGAAGTTGAGGCTGTTATACAGCGATTGTAATCATCTGGGTAGATCAAAACTCGAAGTTTCAGAACTTGAGGATGCGGTTCTTCGGCAGCACGTACATTTCATAAGCTCTTATTGCAGACTCTTCAATCCTAAGATTATCTTTCACTTAGATTCAAGCTTCTACGTTCGTGGAACTGTTCAGAGTGCAGAGCTCTGTTACAGGTGGCCATGGCTCGGACTCCAGTAATTGGTTAAAGTTGGGTATTCATTTTGAGTATATGTACTAATTCAAATTGGGTAACTGGAGTCCATTTTTGAGAAGACCGTTTCCAGTGTTCTTTCTACTTGCGTGCGTCTTGGATTGTTAGTTCTCGTGGGCATGTCCCACCTCATTGTTTAACCTTACTATGGTGCTGGTTCTGGTCGTGGAAACGTAGAATGACAGAGGATTTGGTGCCCTTCCCATCCTCGTCAATGATTCACCACTTCAATTTGATTTCGCTACAGAATTTGTTAATGTTTTGTGCATGTCACTTCCTGATTTCAAATGTACGCGACTTCCTGCCCATAATTATACATTGCGTTCTTAGGTGTTGTTCTGTAGGCTAATGTAAACTTCATGTTTGCCAATTCTGAAAGTGATGCACAAGTTTGAAATAGCAGAGCTTTTGCTATTATGAATCAAAAGTTCTGAGAGAATAATACACTTGTCCCATATTAAGTATATGCATGCCTTTGTGATACAAATCATAAATTCAGGTTGCGTTTCTCTAGACACTGTTGCTACAAAACTGCTGTCATTTTCAGAGCCGATGTATGAAATTAACTACATTGTTTCCTATTTCAAAAAAAAAAACATCTAATTTTTGCAAGTGGAACCAATAAAAACTCGTGTATCACTTCCAATTCCTGCACAATTAATGCATGATAGTAACAAAGGTAGACTTTGTCATCAGTCACAAGTTCCTAACCAGTCACCACAAGCTTTCAGTACACACCATGTGAAAGACCTCAGAATAACTTAACTTCCATCACAAGAAATGGCATTCAAGTCCACCAGTTGCATGTGACAATGAAGCATCAGCCCTGGAAACAATCCCACTATGGCATTGGACTCGTTGGGGGGTGGACTAAGTCCATCATGGACAGCTGTTGGCAGCTCCGATAGTAATCTATTCAGCAACAAAATAGTCATCACTTTGATAAAGACAACTGCTGTGGTCCTCTCTGATATTTACGCGGCATCAACATTTCATTCAGGGAGAAAATCATCTCCACCAGATGACCCGTGTGAACATCGAACTATGAATCCAGTTATTGCATGAAGCTCACGAACAGTCGATCAGATCCACAATTAGAAACAGAAGGGCACATGAGCATGGTACAACCCCACCGCCTTGTCAGGAAGTAGATTTCTGGGTCAGTGTGTCTGAGTGTCTCAGGTTTTGTCTTCGGCTTGCTCACGTGAAACCTTACAACTTTAGAGGACCATTAAGACCGAAAGAGTTCCATCCTGTTTATAGATGCAATTCGAGGCATATCTCATATAGAAGTTTGTGTGTGCGCGATCTAAGAAACGAAATATTCCCAAAATAAAACTTAGGAACAAGGACAAAGCACGCAACATTAGGTTACATCACCTCCCGAATGACCAACACAGAGAATAATTAATAAGCGAATATGTTTATTTGGGGAAAACAGTCTGGTATTCAGAGTGGAATACAACAGTTCCAAGCGGGAAAATCAAGTTACATGATATTACAGGATTTCTGTACAGACTAAAAGCCGTGGAAAATTTTGAGCTAAAATCCTCTCAAGGCTGTGACATACCTGTCAAGCCTCGATCTAAACTGCAAAAACCACAGAGTTGGCGACGCGCCTTGCACACTAGCTAAAGGTGACTGGTGCTACGCATCTTGCACTAAATGCCTCACTGCCGCATCGTGAAGTGGTCCTGATTGTTTGAAATCTACTCTTCTTGTGTACAGCGTACGAAATGCAACACTCAACGTAGATCACTCACAAGCCGATAGACCATGGCTCTACCGGAAGAAACTATGCCTACAATGGAAGGTCAAACAGACCTTTAAGAGCCAATGTAAAAAATAAAAAGTAAAAACCGAGCGAAGAGGGAGGTTTGGGGAAACCAATGCAAGGATCAGGTCATTATAAAACTAGCTCTGCTGCACCGTCATCCTTATTGGGTTGGTCCACCTGCTAGCCACAGGAGTCCATCCGCAGTATTGTTGAAATGTCAACAGATAATCCTCAAAAAAAAATTGACTCGCAAAATACAAACTGGAATTTTTACTCTGAACTTTGTACATCCGATTCACCCACATTCGATCACACAGAAGGGCCCGGGATGATATTATGCAAGGGCAGACACTTGAGATCCGAATGAGCCAAATCCTTCGATTCGCACAGTTGGTTTGGCACTGTGAGAAGAGGGTCCACATGAGTTCATCTGAAGTGAGAGGTTGGAAGTCGTCCTCTGATGCAGAAATGCCGCATCGTGGATTAAAGGGTTGCCTGCTCGACTCGGAGGAGAGCCACAAAAACTTGGGGGAGAAGAGCTGAAGTTAGAAACGCCCCTGTATCCCCCTTTGTTGAGAAATATGTCGAGCAACTCGAAGCAAACCACACCTTCCGACCGAGCTGAAGATTTACTGCATAAGTAGATAGTACCTAGAGTTATGCACAGGTTGGGTGCCTCCGGAAAATGAACGAACCGGAAAACGAACGAAGATAAGCTGAATAACCCGCTAAATAAACACCTTTGAAGAGACTGTAAGAAGTTAATACCTTCGGTGTCGATGAGAAGGCTTCACAAACTCGTTGACAGGGCAATTTACAGTGGTGGGACGTCGAGGTCTGGGGCAAATAACCTCGTCTTCACCTCCTTCGACTCGCAAACCTGTGCGGGATCTTCTCTTCTCGTTCATGTCCGTCCTATTGTCCATGGGGCTCCACACCCTCTGGACGTGTTGCACGCTACTCATGTTCCTCGTGAAATCCATGTTGTACAAGGCCTTAGAAGAAAAAAGATGTTTCCTGCTTTCTACCAGCTCCAAGCAGATATGTTCAAAGGACTTCTGCGGCAGGCTACCAATCCGGTGCTGGTGACCAAATTTTAGACTCAAAACGTTCACTCAGTCAAGGATACTATACAAGCGAGATGTAGCGGACCTGCACGTAAAAGAGGGAAAAGTCGGTAAGTATTAAGATGACACATCCTTCTCGGAAGAGGAGACGTTCAGGCTACAATCAAATTGGAAGAGGATAGTCCAAGTCCGTGAAATATTAAAGCCAAGGGGTTGACAGACTCTCTGCCGTTTGGTTACGACTTGACAAAGATTAACACGCACTTCACTGGCGCCTCAGACGGACAATTTCACATCCACAGGCTCCAAAAAGCCTTTAGCGTTGAAGCTCTAACATACCACTACCTCCAAAATAACTACAAAGAGGCAGGTTACAAGCATGAAGCAACTACGGAAGAAACTCAGGATCCTGAATTCAAAAGATCACATAACCACCTAGTTAAAGAGATAGAGCACGAAGAGATGGAGAAGCTATGAGTATGACATAAAACGCCGTAGCCAGAGACTACAAAAGATAACGGGCGCCAGAGGTGGTCAAGATTATATCTTTATCTGACTACTTCCATGACGTTCAAAATCCATCAGCAGAAGGGAGCACTCCCGAGTACCAGAATGAACCTTCTTTATATTGTACAACTGTCACTCATTTCCTCCAGCTAATGCTCAAACTTGATCGTTCACCATAGCCTCCTTATCATTTCTCACGAAGCGCAAAAATTTCTAAAACGACAGAACTATAGCGCCTCACTTCATACGAATCAAGTCAATCTCGCTCACTCAAATTGATGAGCCAGATCCATAGTCCGGGAAACAGAGAAATTGCGACGAGTAAGAACAAAATCCTATCAATAAGCTCAGGCCATCTCCACAAAACACTCAACAGGCGTCCCAAGAACATTTTGAAAGCCGCCAAACTCGTCTGAACAATACTTTTCGTCTCCCTCGTAAGAAAAAGCAAGCAGTCCTGCAGGCGAACTCCTCCACATACCCAACTCCAACTCCTAATTCCCTCTCCAGCTTTAACATGTGAGAGAGAAAGAGAGAGAGAGAAAATAAATAAATAAATAAATAAATAAGTAAACCCCGCATCTCCAAGAACCCAACTCTCGTGATTCAATATCCAACCAGGAGCATACCTTTCCGCAACAAATCACACGTCGCAGCCCCAAACCCGCTGTCCTCTTCGCACAAGGGTGATATCGTCCCCAACATGACCCAAAACTGCACAAAACTGCCTACGCTTACAAACGGACGTCCCCACGCCTGAATCCGAATCTCGTGTCCAGGCTTCAAACTTGCGCGCTTCGAGCACGCGCACACACACACATACACACTCACACTTCCGCCTCGACCTTTGCCCTTCCGCTTCTACTTCTTCTGCTTCTTCCTCTTCCTCTACTTCCTACTTACAAACACAACAGCGTCAGCCTCGCTTCCTCTGCTTGTGCTGCTGCTTCTGCTCGCTGTAGGTGCCCATGAGATTCTGACTGCACGCGGACAGGTTTAGCTACACTCGTAATTGATAGCCCCAGCGGGCTAAGTAGCTGTGGCGCAATCCTACTTTTCCTCGATTCGTTCCCACCATCACCCGCAAAAAAGCCCTTTTAGCGTTACCCACCTGCCTGACGAGCTTCCACAGCACATCACACAGAGAGTATCGCTACCAGTGCCCGCGGCCCACGCTGCTCGCCGTATCCGACTCCCTCACCGCGAAGCAACGCGGCCGCCGAAAGTGCCTGTGTTTGTTTGTGTGAGTGATTATGTGTGTATGTGTGTTCCTCTTTTTTTTAACCTTCTTGCCCCTTTTGTTTCGGGCAGCCATACGCCTCCCAGCATAGCGTTCTGGATAGGAGGAAATATGTGGCCGCGGGCAGGGGCAGGGTGGAAGAGTTGGTCCCCGAGTGGGATAGCGTCCCCAACGTTCTCTATTGTTCCCCTCGGCGTTCCCCAACTGATGCGCAATGCCTTTTCTGGATTAATAATTGGACCCAGTGCACCTCCACTTTTGCGTATATTTATACGTAACATCCGATGATTATATTTGACGTATTCTCGATATTCCATTCCTACGCCACTCCGAGTCCAGTTGCGGCGCTCCCTTACTGCCCCTTTCTCACCTTAACCCACTTCTGTAATCCTTGACTTAGTGGGAATTTTTCCAAGTGACAGGATTTTAATGAGTTTCCTGGAGTTACTAAAGTTCCCAATGGAATTGCCAACTCGGGTGACATTAGGTCAAGTAGGTGACCCATTTCCAATAACTTAAGCATTTTAGCATATCTGCCATAAGTTTATGAAAAAAAATATTTACATATATATATATATATATATATTCCAATGTAGGGAAATAGAAATCATGAAGATTCCATGCGTTTCCACACAATTATGCCCAAAACCAAAATTAATATTATTTTTTTAGTTGAAGATTCTCTTTGACCCAAATTCAACACAAAGGCCAACCCAATTTCAACTAGTGGTTGGTTACAAAATTGAGAATGCTTGATTTCATGACAAAATTTATGAGCTGGCATAAAATTCTTAATTTGTTATCCAATGGTGCCATGGAGTTGAGGAAAAATGTGAATTAAGTAATGTGAAACCATAAGATGTCAAAACTGATCAGTATTATCATGTCAAATTGATCAAAAATATTTCGCCTTGTAGGTCTGAAATGGGGGCGTGGTCGAGAATGGGTTGGCTACCTTAGAGGAGAGGGCACTTCCTTCACTTTGTGCCACTCTCTACATCTATGTGTCAGTGCCTAAAGCACATCCAATTAAAATATATACATATGTATAAAATAACAGGGTCTTGATGGAACACACTTTGGAAGTGGGGTTCAGTTTTGTTGGGGGGGGGGGACACAGGTGAGAAGGGATGCCAAAGCCAGTATTCTGTGCAATGAGAGCACACAACTAACATGACTAGTTCACATGAATAAATGAATAAATAAAACTTGTGTAATTTCACTTCTAAAGTGCCCTTGCCATTGAAAGAGAGGACTAACTTAGACCCAGAAATCTCTCTCTCTCTCTCTCTCTCTCTTTTCTATCCTTGAGTAATATTCAAACTTCATGGACAATACTGCTGTAGTATTGCTTTTGCCGATTTGGGCAGCAAGAGCTGAGCCAGCAAGCACCCATGTGCCGGGAACTACAAATTTGGAGGGGAAATGGCTAAAAGAACTTGTGGGGAAGCTTCAGTGCGGTCCCAGAGGATAAAGCCTTTGAAACCAAAGGGCCCATTCTTCATCATGTCAACACTGAAAGTCAGTGCAAAAATTTGTTACAGCTGAAAAGCTGTGTTTATTCAATGCAAAAAACATAATTAAATATAAAGTTACTTTTGAGCAAGTTGTGTGTTTTGTAGCTTGTTCCAGGCAAAACAGTCACCCCCCCCCCTGGAACTGTAACCACAGAATGCACAAAAAAGGGATGAAAGTGAGATTCCTCTGTGTAACATGTAAGTCTACTTCACTGGGCACATTTATATATAATTTGTTTCCAGAGGGGGTCATAAAGGAGAAATATCTCTGCATCTGTTCCACTTGACCTCACTACTTGGTGCTAAATCTTTGCATGGTACACCAAATCCAACTTTTATAATATATTTGTTTTTCTAGCAGAGAGATTTATTTCCCATCTCTTGTAGCCAATAATTAACCAATGTTTCAGTTATCTCTTTTAATGCAACAGGAAGAAAAAAAATCATTTTTTTTTGATGAATTGTGTGCCAATTCCATGTGTGCATCCACTTCTGCTTTGGAGAATATATTAAGTGTGTGAATGGGTGCTGGTTGGTGATGGGTTTAGAAAAAATGGGATGGGTGGGCATTGTTGGACTCCCCACTTAAGTTATTAACCCAACAGCAAATAAAAATACATGCGTTGGCAACAAGCAAAGGGGGTTGGACAAAGAATGATTAATGTGTGAATAGAGAGATGCATGCATGGTTGCACTGCATCCACACCCAAGTTGACATCACTTAATTTATATATATACATATTTCAAAACTTTTTTTTTCTTTTTTTTTGTTGCTTAGATTGTGACTTTGGAAAGGGTCGTGGAGAAAGACCACACAGTCAGATCATGGAATGGAAGAAGACCAAATCATAAGGAAAACAAAAAGTGTCTGAAGATGACCATTGGAAACATCACCATTCCTTGTCGTGGATGAAGTGAGAGAGTTAGAGCAGTTCTGTGCATCACAATGAATGAATGAATGAACAAGCATAAATTACCTTTAGAAAACTGCAGATACTGAGGTTCATTCTCTGAAGATCTTCAATAACAATAATGAGCAAGAGCTTGGGATTCAGATCCAGATTTGCATTCAGTGTGGCCAAAAATGGATGGGAGATGTCCATCTGACTGCAAAGAATACACCATGTGGGTTCAGATGATGGTAAGTGAGTATTTATTTATATGTGGTGTAAAAGACTGGAGGTGGAGGAAAAACAAATTAAAAACTGTTAGGTCACATGCATACATACCCACCCAACAGCTATTTTTACTGAAATAATGGAGCTGGGTTGGCAGGGGACAGCCTGAACTGGGGAAAAAATACAGTGGTAGCCATGATGTGAACAGTAGGAATCCAACATGAATAACAAACTTATTTGGATAAGTCACATGTATGGCCTGAAAAGTTACTATTCATGACCACTTTGACAGTAAGAAATACAACAATAATATGCCTTGGGTAAGGAAAATATAAATCAACATAATGCATCAGTGTATGAATATTTTTTATTTAAAAAAAAAAATTGTTCCATGAGAAAAAAATTACGTTATTTGTCATTATTTATAGTTGTTATTTGGGTTGTGGTTTTGGATGGGTTTAATGTGTGACAATGATTTGTGTTTAAATGGATTTTTTCTATTTGTAAAAGTGGAGTGTGTTTGGAGGTGAAGAAGTAGGTTTGATGAGAAATATCTAAGTTTGAATATGTTATGTGATGTGCTCTGGTGTATGTTTTCAAGGTTGTTTAGCTAAGATTCAAATTAATAACTGTGAAAGTATAGAATCAGAATCTTCTTTAGTCTAAATAGTTGTTATTTAAGAATTAAACAATACTTTGTCAGTCAGTGTAGCTACAAATAATAAAACAATTATGCAGTGAAGGGATGGGTATTCCAACAGTACTTCATTTACACAATCAAATGAGTAAACATTAAACTTGAAATATGTAGTGTGTGAGTGTGGATTCTCAATTATATCCTTTGACAGTATCAAAGCATTCATACTTTTTGTGAATAAGAAAATGGGGATTAAGGTATCACCATGTAGAAAAATTGGATAGATGATGTTATTATTTTTTATAATTATGTTTGAATGTAGATGGATAGAGATTGGTTTAAAGGCATGAAATGTTTTATAGTAAATGTTTAACAGGATGTCTTTGACATTCCAAGCAACAAAGTGCAGTTACTTAATCTGTTCCATTTACATTCATGCTTTCCAATCAAATCAAGACATAATTTTGTAACCAAATACAATCTGCATCAACAGTTTATTGTGTTGTATTCTATATATGCAAATGACAAGCATGGTGACAAAATAATTCCAATTCAAATTTTGATTTTGAACTCCAAACCAGGTTTGCAAATTGATGTCACATTTTATTGTTATTATTCCTATAAATTCATATGGAAAATAATGAATTACCCCCCCCCCCGCCCATTGGGAAATGTGTTTTATTAATACTGCTGAACGCTGAAATGTAGGTTGTGGGGACGTGGCTTTAATGTGCCGAGGTAAAGTTTTTGGAGGTATTTTCTTTCGTGTTTTAACTCACCCCTTTTGATTGGCCGAGCCACGTTTCACTCATCCAGTGGCAAAGTTTCTGACTCCTGTAGGCTGTAAGGCTTTGGATGATGATGATCTGAGTGATTTATTTATTTATTTATTTATTTTTGTTTTTGTTTTTTATCTTGCTGTTGCGGCACCTCTCATGTTGTTGCCTCCACTGTGAGTTAATCTGTGTGTGTGTGTTGTCTCCAGCTGGGTGGCTTTATATGTGCTTATGATCTCATGTTTCCCATCTCTGCCAGCCATGCTCTCTCTTTTTTTGTTTTGTTTCTGTGTGTCTTGCATGAGGTCATTCATTATTGCAGATACCCTTCTATTTAATGTTTGGCTTTTATGTATACATACAAAACGTAGTTGTACGTTCTGTAAAATACATGTAGTATAGTATAGTATAGTATAGTACAAGAGGGGGGGGTAATTGGATCTCAGCTCTTCTTCTTTCTTTTTCCAAGGTTATGCACTTTCATGGGTTTTGTAGGATTAGGGTTATGGGGGTCCTACCCACTTACTACAATGGAGACCCTGTTGCAGATATATCAATCTTGCTCTCCCTGTGTATGTGTGTGTGTGAATGTATACATACATGTGGATTGTGTATGATGCCTATTCTGTATATTTTCTGTTTGCTAATGGTCAGACTATATATATAATGTAATAGAACTATAATGTATGCACTGTATCTAATCAAACTAATACATTATTTGAAGAAAATGCTCATATTGATTGTAATAAAAAAATATATATATCCATTTTTCTTTATTGATTGTAAACATGTAAAATCTTATTTGGGAGGGCTTTGTGTACAACAAGATTGGATGTGTGCAAATAACCAGTATATATTTTATAATAGGTGTTTAAAAAAATGGGGTTTTATTTTTTTTATTTTTTGAATACATGGATTTAGATGACCATATAACTTTAATTGGATCTATATGTTACTCAATGTCATGCCATTCAAAACAACTTGTTATTTAATTTACAATTTTAAAAAAATAAAACATCAAAACTCTGATTGTTGATTACATGCATTAGAATATTATATGAAAAGAAATGGTCTCATTTGGGAGTTTCAAACATGGCACTTTTGCAAAACCAAATAACTGGGATTTTTCTAGCATCACTCAAATATCAAATCCAAAATATCACCATTTAAAATTTATTATCACCCAATAGTACCCCATGAATCAAATTTTATTACCTCCTAGTTTGGAGTCAAAGAGGGAAGAGAGCTAAGGCAAGCAACATGGTTTTTGATATTTGACCCACCTCTCTTGTGATATTTTGATTTCAAAATATCACAAGATACTTTGAGCAAATATCACCCAAAGAGGCCATGTTTGAAACCCCCTATTTAAGGGGTTCTATGCTTAGGATCCATTTTGAAATATCATGGTGTGAATAATGGTCTTTGGAGATAACAAAAGGTAAAAATGTAAAATTAAATCACATCTTTTATTTGTATTTGTCATTGTGATTCTACATGTAAAACATATATACTTTACATTAAACAAATTAATGTCTATCCTTGAAATTTCTTGGCTGACTACAGTCTATCAAATATAGAGTGACTATCACCTACATTAATTTATTTATTAACTCAATTCTAATTAATACATGATTTTTTGAATTATTAGAAGTATTTTAATTTATATTTTTTTGGAATATTTTCCAACCTTTATGTAAACTATTTTTTAATATTCATTTTGATTTTTTTTGAAATATTTGACAAATGTATAGATTTTTTAATAAAAAAATAGTTAAATTAATAAATAATGTTTTATTTTAGTTTAAATTTAAACATTCGCAAGTTTAAAATTCACAAAGATCTATGATGATATTATGATTTTAAAGTCTATCTATAGTAAAAATGTCTATTAAATTTATAGTGATGTACGTGTATATATATATATATATATATTTATGTAAATATAAATACAATGTACAACATATAATATTCAAATTTTCTTATTTCATTGGCACAAGAATCAAATGTTTACTACATTTTTTTGAACCTCATAAACCATTAACTGAAACAAATCGCCAAATTAAAACTTTACAGAACTGATTGAATTCAGCGTATAAAATAAATATAAACCACCAAAACATTGACATTTCACAGATTTTTCTAATCATCAAATATGAGTTTTCAAGATAATTCCCAAAATTTTGATGCATTGTTTAACATTTTACTTTACCTTTGTTTTCTTTTATAATAATTTTTATTACATCAGTTATCTTTATTGTATCAATCATTATATTGAGGAATTTAATTAAATTTACCTTAAAATACAGAATTTACATGAATAATAATAAGATTATTTATCGGGAACATGAAGAGAGTACAATTGGGAATTATTGAGGGACTTATTCGCATATTTTAGAAGGCAGAATGTGAAGATGGTGAAAGGTCACAAAGCACCCACACAAATTGGCAGTACTCCACCCTGTTCATCCAATTCATCCAAATGAACTTAGTGATGGATGGATGAGAGTGGGTGAGAGGGATGAATAGCTGCAGCGTCGGGCATGTGCAGCCTGTCTTTGGGCCCCAGCTTGTGTGGCCAGCAGGGCTCCAGTTCTGCACACATTTGCATCCATAAGATGAATGACTTTCGTTCTTCCGAACAGCCAGGGCCAATGGAAAGCGGTGCTCATCCATCTCTGTTTATCATTCGTTCGATATGGATGAGTGGTGACTTCGATGACTGCCAGCCCAACTGCCCCCACTTGTTACTGAAATCGTGGAATGATTGGTCGCTCCCCTCTCAGGGTATAGCAAATCCGGATATTAATAACATTGCCCTATTCTGGAATCCATCCTGGGTGTCAATCGGACGCGTATGTCTTTGCCCTCTGCACTGGCACTCTTCACTTTTTATTTTTTTTATTTAAGTATTTGGTTTTTAGCTACAATGTCACTCGGTGCATGTTACTATCGTCCCTTCTTTACGAGAGTCTTAGAATAGGGAATAGGGTTTTCCAGTAGCAATAAAGAGGGAAACCAAAAATAAGCAAATTAAAAGTAAGAAAAATGACGGGAAATGTTTTTAAAGTTGTAGGTGATTGGGGGATTTGATCTGTAGCATGATATTCTATAGCTCTTAAGCAAGAGTTGTTGCATTAGTGTTGATACTTTTTGAATTTTTCGAGAAACTTATTAAATGTTTTCGAATTCAGGAATTAAAAGTTAAAAAGAATTAGCATGTTTGAAATAGTAATGGTGTTTTACCCTGGTGGTGTCTCTGCTGCCCGACCATTGTGCGAGGCTCTGACAACAAACCCGTCCCCACCGGGTGCTCGGAGGGGGGGGGGGGGTGTGGCGGCCGGTCGGTCGGTCAGGCTCACAGATCGGTGCCTTTAGGGGAACACAAAATCATGACGAAGAGTCTGCCCCCCTCTTCTCAAGACTGTCTCGTCCCCCCCCTGGATCCACCCGCTTTTGGAGCCGACCGTCTGGGCCGTACTAGCCGGGTCGAGTCAGGTCGGGACGGGCTGGGCGGGGATGGAACCGCACTCATGCCCAACACTCTAGAGCTGTAATAATGAACCCTCAGAAGGTTCGTAGATGTTACGGTCTGGTTCCGAAGCAAAAATTATGGCTGGTCTGAGTGGTGGTTCGGGAATCACGAACCTGTGGAGGAGTCTTAAGGACCCTCATAAATTTATCCTGAGGATGGGCACGATGGATGAACGGACATGGATGGAATATTTCGATAAGGTGATTGGAGTATCCTGGAGGGTCATGGACTTTGGAAGTAGTGTAGAGTGTGAAAAAGAAGAAGAATTCGTCAAAATTGACCAGTGAGTTACATATTTGAAAATATCAAATATTGATGGCTGTGAGAGTGCACGGTCACAGTAATCCTACACAAAATAAAATCTGCGAATACTCCACGTTTTTTTTTATTGATGAGTCTGATGAAAGGAATACCCAAAGAATACCCATCCTTGAATATTGCAACGTCAGCAAAAAAAGAAGAGGGATAGACTCTAAAGGAACTGATCTTGCAAGCCGAGCAGGAAAAGAGCGCACGAGCATAGCTCCGAAGTTCAGGATGCTTGAGTGGCTCGTAATTCGGTAGGAGTTCTGGATGTTAAAGAATTCCAGAGCTGTTTCTTTTGTTGAGCTCTTGGTTATCCGCGGACAGCTTCGTACTGATGGCTCTCTTTGGTGGTACCCTGCAACCATCCTCAAGCTTTTTTCTCCCACTTGACATGACAGCAGATTATCTTGAGGAACACAACCTTTTCCCCTGTCTCAACACAGAGTTCCGGGAGATTTTTTTTTCCAAAGCAAGCTCAAGATACCTTGGAAACGTCGCCATGTCAACTGCTGTGAGAACTAAAAATTGTGTCTCCAGCACAAAAGACTGGAGACAGCATAGCAAGTTACCACCAACACGTGACCAATACGAATTTATTAATTTTCTTTTCTTTTTCTTTTTCTTTTCTTTTCTTCATAATACTTCATGTACATTATAAAAATACAGCCAACGCATTTTGCTGGTAAAATGCACAGTTTCTATAACACTAAAAAATCTGAGAAACTGTGCCCACAGTATCTCCCAAGTCGCGGTACACCATGCGAGATGTGATAGAATGCCGTTCAATCATGTACAGAGCCCTGTTCCTCTATAGAAGGTTTTACCTCACGCGGGCCCCTACTACACGTCTCACCATTGCACCATGTGCAAATAAATGCAACTCAAAGTCATTGCTTGCAAGAGTAATTCCTGAAATCTGAAGTTGAGTAGCGTACAGATTCTCGCTAATCCCATGCTAAGCTCGCTCATGCAAGGAAGGTAATTCTTTTTTGGCAACAAGAAGGATGCAGATCATGTGTCTTTGGTCGTAAGCTCCTGCAAAGTAGAGAAAATCATGTCATATTGTAGAAGACGGTGAACTGTGATGGTTGACATTTGAGAGGCCGCAATTAAGGAGCTCCAAACTCTTTCATAGGATGCTAGGTCTTTAAGCATCCTCCACATATGCCTAGCTCCTAATGGTAATAACATTATCGTACCTTGAAAAGAAGATCATTTGCCAAAGTGTCCCATGGTAATGACAATGACATCAGACAACATCGAAGGGGCAAAGGAGCATTCGGGTCAAGCCTCTGATTGGCAACAGTCATGGCTTGCTTGGCAGCAGTAGCTGCAATGCGCATTATGGAGCTAAATCCCGTCTTCCCTCCTGGCGTCGAAGGTGATGAAGGTTGCCCTTGATCACTAGCCTCAAGAACTGTTCAGAAATTAACCAGTGTGGAATGTGTGAGAGAAGAGATAAACATACAACAGATAAGCAAACATTCGCTTCGGAGTCTTACACCCTTAATCGTTGAGAAAGATAATCCCTTGGCAATCATGTTGGATTAGTATCCTTGAGTCTTCTCTTTCATTTAAGATTGTTATTTGAGAAAGAAGTTACCGACGCACCATCGGTCAATCAGAACTAGATACAGCTTGATGTGGTAACATATCTATGATTGGAAAACAGTAATCAGATGCAGAAGTTCAATCCCGGAAGGCCTTCTCCTTGGACATTGTGATTGAGGTGATGTAAAGATAACAACTGAACACAATGGGCGAGCCACCGATGCTGCACAGAATCTTACCTTTCCTGCTACGGAAAGATGCTTCAATTCAGTTTCAAGTGGTGTTGACATAAAATTATAAGATGGATTGAATGTGAGTTTACCTGGAACACTGGAAACAGCAACATCTAGAGCACCACGGCCTCCTGGACCTCGCATGATGAGGCGTTCCGACTTCCCTGAACCGGAAATTTGTTGTAACAATCCTCCCAATCGCATTTTACCCCCTGAACCCTTTCCAAAAAAATACATCAGTCGTTCCGTTCAGCTCAAATCATCTCATCAATACGACTCTCCTAGCAATGTTTATGCTCAGCAACATCCAATTGGCGTAAAGACCGGAATGACCCCATTGCGTGCAATTGACTATTCAAGGTTGAATTCTTCATTCAACATTGCTACTCGATTTGAGACACAGAATTTGTCGAATTAATGTAGTAGATCAAACGATATTAAGAAATGGGTAAGAAAATACCTTCGAAAGCATTTCGAACCATTTCATAACTCACAAAGCCTGAAAACAATGTCACCTTAAACAGCACCAGTGACCCATTTAGAATATCAGTATCCCTCAAACACAAGCATGGACTTCGCATACTCTACACTAAAAATAGAGAAATTAGGTGATCCCACACTCTAGTGAATGTAGCGTAAAAGCTAGTCCCATAAAAGTCTAGCCCGCGATACTGTGCCTCTAAGATATTGAAACATCGCAACATCACTTTAGTCCAGGAGAAAATGCCTTGGTCAATTGCCATTTTTCAAAATCACTTACCCTGGATGGTGTAACTTGTCCTTCTGCACGCAACTCAGTCTCAGGTTCAGGTAGCAACTCAGGAGGAAGTGCAGCCCCTCCGCGAGCGTTCAAGAGGACACAATAGCAGTGATCTGGGTCTGTCAAGATCTGTGCCAAAATGACATGTAACGTCTCAAAAGAATTATATTTGAATTCATAACCTCATTGTCGTAAGAGAAAAAGCTACACCACAAAAAAAAAACTCAAAAATCAACAAAATACCCGCTTCATTTGATAAAGTGAAGTTTACTATACATAACTCTCAGCATAACTGCCCAGTCTATCCGTTGTCGAAATTCTTCATTCTTTTAGTAAATGTAACTATAACGTCTAAGCAACTGGTTGTACACGCAATATCCAAAGCCTTCGTTCGATACCGTAAGTGATGGACACACCACTCATTAAGACAGGAATGTGAAATGACGTCCAGTAAAAAATGCACTCACCACATCTTCGAACGTATTATCGTAGTCGTCCACAACAAAGCAGACATTAGGGTAAGCAGGCACTGTCTCAACTGCCTAATGATAGAGAAGCCATATCAGAACATATCATTGAGCAAGCTATATAGAAACATGCAGATTCAAACCAGCTCATCTATTCCATTCAATGATAGCAGTGAAATCTTAATTGATGTGCATTTCCATAATTAAGACAGCACAGAATATACATTGTGACAGAAATCCTGAAAAATACAACACGAGAATCTCTAACAATACGGTACAAAAGTATGCATATTAAGTTCCAAGAAGACATACTTTGGATCTGAAATCGCTTTGAAAATTTGCACGACTAGGAGAAGCATAGACCCTGTTGGTAACTTTATATATAGGCGCCAAAGGCGCATTACTGTCTTTATCTCGATTTTGTAATCCTTGTCGACTGCAACAGGTGAAAATAGTATACAAGCCTATCAAGAAATTGTGCTATTAACTCAAAGACAAACCCAAAACTGCATAATAAACCACAACAATAAAAGCTTCTGCCTACCCAGAGGCAAGCACAACATTTGGGGCTAAACATCTACAACCAAAAACCATCTGAGACGTTAAAACCCTATAAACTTGCAGGATTTAATAACAAGGATTTGAACTTTTCGTTGAGAAATAAGATTCTATCTATGTGATACTAACCGAAGTCCAATTATGTAAGGCTCCGGCCCTCATAAATGAATAAATGCAAAATATAATGCACTTTAGTTGGTAATTGATGATTGAGAAAGGTGTACAAAAAAACCTTCCAACCTGCAGATCGCAACTGTAAGAGAGAATTCGGTATGACAAATGAGATTTAGATAGAACGACCGTGGCCAGTCCACTTGCCCGGTGGTACTTCCTATCACCTTCACGAGCTGCACATGGAACAAGTTTGCCGTCTTTATTATCACATGATTATCACATGATTATCACATGCTAAACGCCTAGCTGAATATTTTATATAAACATAAAGGTCTGACTGAAATTGAATTACTCACTTCAGGAGCCCATCTGCGGACAAAGAAAGGCTGAACGGAGGGATCATCTGATTCTGAGGGATAGCTGTCACTATATGGCGAGCTCTGCACCACATTCCATTCGAGTTTCGTTCACACACAATAGCGTTTGATTAGTTGAGCTTACGCAAAAGGCAGACAGAACAATCCAAGAAGTCTCCGCAAAAAGTCACTGTCACGATTCTGTAAGTTAATTTGGTCATGATATCTAGTCGATCTCAGGATGCATAGGTTCCAAAGAAATGGCATTACTCCTGTTTTCTAAACCCCACAACATTAGGGTTCTTTCCTAATTAGGTTGCTCATGTACAGCAATAAGAACGGATCACATGATCTGGAAATCGAAGTCGAGCAGGGGGAAAATTAACTGCTTATTAAAACGAAACTGTATTCTCATTTTACATAAAAAGAAAATAAAAACAAAAAGACGTGCCAAACCATTGGGTTGCTTTTGTCCACTACAAGGACTTGAGCAGGCATATCTATTACATTCTTGTAGAATGCTTAATGTTGGCTAAGAAAAACAAACATAACGCAAAACATGTGCTACTTTGGGATGGTCTCAAAAGTGGTGCATCTTGCACAACTAACCTGAAGGCGGACAAAAAACACAAGATCATCGTCAGCTTTCTCTTCTTCTCGATCGACAATCCCGCGGACGAAGAATAGGTCAAGAAGTTCACACCAAAATTGTGGATCTATTTCAGCATCTTCGTTTGAATGCTGTCCAATCGATGATGAATGCTTACGGACGATGTTGAGCAGCTCTACCCTGTAGGATACGCACAAGTTATGTAGGGAACAACACTGCAGAAACCTAGCAGTTCTGTATCAAACCACAATGCCACATCTCAAACTGTATGGATACAGTCAAATTGGAAGTTTACAGAGGGTTAAGGACCTGGAAGGCGTGCTAGTAGCTGACGATGACAAACCGAGACCATTTCCTTTGGCGTTCTTCTTTTTTTCGGTTCTGGGTTTCCTGGAGCAGAAGGAAGTCCGAGTTATAATGCGTCTAACAAACTTGATTAACAATGGAGGAAAAATAAAGATGGAACTAGTAGAAGTTCATAATAAATTCAAAAGAGAGGAACAAAAGTTTGAGAGATTAGGCTTTACTTAGATACTACACCAACTCTCACAAGAACAAAGCTTGCCTGCATTAAACAGGGACCATCACGTTGAGGTCTCCTGCTACTGACAGTGTAAATGAGACCTCTCGCGTTATTTTCAATAACATGACAATTAGTTACCTGCTAAGACACTCAAAGAGAGGGTGAATTTTCTTACGCTAAGACCGTAGAATTGACGTGTTGCCAATCTCCCTCGTCCTCATCAGCCCCTCCAGCATCATGCCTGCTATACAAATGATTTGAGTAACGAGATGCAGAACAGAAACATCGACAGCTAAGGGTAACGGTCCATCCTACTTTGTAATTATTTATAAAGAGTACACAACAAACTGCACAACAGCCTTTATGAGAGGTGACTAAAAACATGTTTGGGCTTGTCAACTGAGAGGGGAGGGGATACTACGAAAACCTGTAAGAGCGGGTCGGATTGAACGCCATGTAAGTGCGTTTCTTCTACTTGCAGAAATCTGCAGTGTCTACGTCGCGATAAATTGTCACGGCGCACTATCTGTTTTTCTTCACTTCCCAACACTTCAGCTGCACGTTCAAGTATTTACCTAGGATCAACTAAAAATTCAAAAAGAATTGAATCCAGTTAATATTCGATCATCTCAATCATAACGCGATATCTTTTGCTGACAACTCTATATCGAGCACACCGCAAGCAGAGGATGCAATGAGCTACACCAAACACGGATGGCTCAGATAAGAGCATAAAATCCAAGTGAACAAAAATTTATTAGAGTGGCTAAAAATCGTCTAAGACGATCTCTGAGATTAAACTGCAGCAGAATGAAGACACAGAGATCGTACAGCCTCTGACGTAAAATAAGAATGTCTCTTACAACCAACGAAAGCGCGCGAATCTACCACGCACGCAGAGAACGAAGCAAGAAAATGGTAAAAGAACAAGGGTCGTAAGATTCGTGCCTAAGCTTATTCTCATGAACCTCACGACCTTCATGAACAAACATTACACAAACAACGCTAAGCGAGTGCCTTCGCAGGTTCCAGAACCTCAATAAACAAGGACAGAATCAGTTCCACTTCCTTCCTTCGCCGCACAACCCTTGGATTTATCGCAATCCATGCGCACATTCAAACCCTAGTAAGAAACACCTCAAAATTTTCATTCGCCTCACTCTCCTCACACGCCACTAGGTCACGAATTCGGTCCTGATCACGCCCTCACAACTATCGCTATGAAACAAACCTCCACGTCCCCCCCCCCTCCCCCTGAAACTGGAGATAAACAAGTAGCCAACAACTGAAGCAACATAAAAGAAAGGTTTCTCACTCGAATTTTCACGCAGACGCAACGAATTTTGTTAAGAGAGCGGTAGAAACAGGCTTCCTCGACGATCACAGCGGGGCCAACGCCGTCGAAACCAGTGGCGCAGCAGTAATCACGGCCTCCTCGCACACATCCTCCGCAACAACAAAGCAAGCAAGCACTCTGGCTCTTGCCAGGCTGTTGAGCTCCTCGATCACTCAGATCCTCCGTGGAACGGAGAGCATCTGCCCATTCCCAAGTTTCAACTTGTTCCCCATCTTTGTTCACGCATTCCCTTGCCCACCCCCCTCGCGTGGAATCTTGGGGGTTGCTACGTGGCTCCTGGTCGTTCGACCAGAACTGTGACGTGGATGGGTTTTTGCTTTTTAAAGATTCGCGGCTGTTGACGTGGCATTGCTGAAGTCAGCCTTTGTTCAATCCAATCCCATGTTGGATTACGATTTAGAATGGATATTTATTATTTTTTTTGAATGATATTATGGTTTGACTATGTTGTTTATGTTATCAAATTATGATACCGAAGGTTATTTTAAAGAAAATGAATGGATTAGCAAACTAGAATTCAAAGTTATGATTTTAATTGATTGCATCTTGGTTTATGCTCATGTTGGGTGAATTGAGTGACACATGAGTCATTTATGTTTTTGAGTTTTTTCAAGGTTATTAGCCAACAAATTACCTTGTTGATGTTGCATCAATTGTTGGATAATCCATGTTGAATAAATACAAAAATGATAATCAAGCAATAATGGAACAAATTGAATTTGACTTGGTTTGGAGTATAGCTTCTAGACTGATATTTTTATCTTCAATTATTTTTTTTAAAAAAATCTAACTTAAACATTCACTTGCTTTAATTTTTTATTTACAAAATATTCATGGATTTTGAAAAATATATATTTGCTACTTAATAACAATAAAGTGTTAAGAAAAATAAATTATCACCATCATCAATTTTTAGATGTCTATGATATTTTACATTTTTTATAATAGTAAAAATAATAAACATATTAATGTAGAATATAACAATGTTTTTATTTTTTATTTTATTTTTTTATTTTATACAACCTAACATTTACAGTGTCTAAACAAACTTGTTTTTACTATCAAAATACACTAAAATTAAAAAAATGGAACAATAAATTAAATTTTTTAAGCATATCATTAAAGTTTATGTTTTGTAAATGGAAAGTAGATTTTTTTTAATGATACAAACAACATTACAATATAAAAAGAATGAATCATAAATCATGTTCTTTAATTCAAAGCCTTCTAGATGGTAACTTTGATGTTCTATTATACTTGTGTATTTTTGGAAGCTCATTTCCATCTTCAATTGTAACAACATACACTTTGTTTAATGGATCAAGGCCATTATATTAATATTTGTACTTAGTATGAAAATCCAAATAGTGTGTATTTTTAATTCTAATTAGTGTAATATACACTATTAAAAGAATAGGACTCTCTAGCTACTTCATTGGATGTAAAATAAGTGGTGAACTATAAAAGCCAAATTATTTATTTGGAAATTATTTTAGTTATATGTAGTACTTGTTGATATTTTTGTCTTGATGACATAATTCATCTATGTTTATCTATTCACCATCAAAGCTTCACTAATTGACTAATTAGATTATAATAAGTATATTTAGATATTTAGTATGTATTAGATACTTTTCTTCTATATCTCATCTTCTTTCTAATTTTGATTTATTCATAGCAATCATCAAATTGTAATATGATATTAGAGCAATCTTAGGCTCTCATTCTTTGTTTTCTTTTTTTCCATTCTCTTGTCTTTCTTTATATTATATTTTAGTTACTAGTATAGAGTTAGTCATGATAGGAAGAAATAATTTTGATAATTCTAAACTACAAGAAGTCACAAATTATGCTATTAGGTGATATAAACTCAAGACACTACTTCAAAGCAAGAAACCATAGAGTATAGTTGACCTTTCTATTGCTCTACTTTCAAATCATCATCCTTTAATTCAATCCAATTGAGGTAGAAAGCAATCAAATCCATATTTCATGCAACACCACCTTCAACTTTATTTGAATAAGATTCTTCATTCAAAGATCAACAATATAATACCACACACATTATTATATCCATGGTAAATGATTCTATCTTTTTTTATATTATGAATGTTTTAAATCTTAGAAAAATCTAAATTAAACTAAGAGATTTGTATCAATTTAGTTCTATAAATTATAGATTTTTTTTCAAAATCCAAACTCTATAGTATGAAAATGATTGACAAAGATAACATTGAATAACATCTCATTGTCATAAAGAATCTAACTAAAAAACTTGCAAACATTGGAGTACTGATATCAAATAAAGAGTTAATTGATAGAGTTTTGACTAGCTTATCTTTAATCTAGAACATCTTTAGAGACAAATGATTTTTCGTAAGGAGCACACTTTTACATTCAACAAACTAGAGAATTTCTTCTTATAAGAAGGTAGTATCAAAACCGAAAATTGCAAAAGAAATGGTGAAGAAGAGGTCTTAACACCTCATCATGAAGCCATATAATTGCAACTACATATACAATGGATGTTTTAATTTGTTTCACAAATAATCTTTTAATTCTAATTATATAAGTTTTTTAAATAATTAATTTTAATTGAGCTATCATCAAACTAAGCACTATAGTAGGAAGTCAAAATCAAGTTTTGATAAAGGTACATGCAAATAAATATTAAAGCCCATTTTACTAAATAGACAATTGTGAGCTAAAACGTCTATGCCTCAAAATCTGCAACTCAAAAGCTAGATCAAGATTTAATATACGGCAGTGGTGCTCAAATCACTTTGAATATATTGTTAAGATACTACCACTTAATAAATCTCATGTACCATCCAAAGAAACAATTTTAGCAAAAAAGTTTGAAATTTGTGGCACAAAAATAAAGTCTAGTAAAAAATCTTAAGATTAATTGATAGGTTTTTGAGCCAATACTTACATTATAGAAAAATTTAGATTTCTTTATTGATGTAAAATCTATGCATTGTTCTATTATAACTATGGCTAGAGAAAGACCTTTATCAATTACAAGATATGGAGGTACTAACCTAGATGATAATAAAGTCCTAATTTATATTTTTTTATATTCATGGTATAATTAAGAAATTATTTTTAATCAAAAAGTTAGTTGATTTTAGCTATTATTCAATCCTTGGACCTACAAACTATTAGATATTTTTTAAAATTCATCCTTACAAAATACTACTCATAAGTAGAAAAAAATTAAAAAACCATTTTTATACTTTAAATAATTTCATTTCATGAAAACCAAACTTCTTATAAGACAACCTTTCTATCAACTCTGTGACTATATTTCAACTAGAAGCAACAAACCTTTGGCATAAGTACAATACCTACCTCAACTTTTAGTCTCTACATAATCTTTCACATCAAGAAATAGTCACATGGATGCAATCTTTATCTTTCATTAGAACCACCTTAGAAACATGCATACTTGATAAATACCATAAGTATCCAATCTTTAAAAGAAGTTTAATTTTAACTATTAAGCCACTTCAATTAGTTCATTTAGATTTGAGCAGGCATCTTCTTGTCAAATCTATCATAGACTCTTGATATTTCTTAATTTTTATTAATGATTACTCAAGATGATCTTGGATTTATTTTCTAGCATAAAAAAGCAAAATATTTAAAATCTTCAAAGATTTCAAACACATGGTTGATAAAAAAAAAAATATAATAAAATCAACTTGCCTATATATAGATAAAGATAGAAAGTATATATTTAATAAATTAAACTATTACTATATTTATAAAAAATGACAACTTATGATAACATGCACTCTTCAACAAAATAGTATTGTCAAAAAAATGAAAACAAATACTTTTATGAAACTATATAGAGTTTACTATTTAAAATACATGTACCACTTTATTTATAGAAAAGTTACTTAAATATCTTATTATATCTTCAATTATGCATTTGATTGAGTTTTTTATAGGATTACTCTATTATAATTATTTTCAAGTTAGAAACATGATCTATGTTAACTACAAGTATTTGGTTGTTCAAACTATTTTCATCTACAAAAAAAGAAAAGAAAAAAGAATCTAAAGCCCAAAAATCCATACTTATAGGATATGACAAGAAATCAAAAGCATGTAGATGGTTTGTTTTTAATATATAAAAGTAGTCATATTAAGAAATGTTTACTTTAACAAGATATAAATAAGAATTCTACCTCTTATACATCCATCTTCTCTGCATAATGCCATATTCCACATCTTTTTGAATTTAAATTCTACTAGCTTACTTTCTATATAGCTTTATATATCATGTTTTGATTGGTTATTTTGCCCAAAAATTTCAAGGTCAATAAGAAGCTATTGTTTCACAATAGCATGGATAACAATAATATAATAAAGCAAGAGATAATAAATGGTGGAAAAATCATCAACATAATCTGATTGTATGAATCACTCAATAAGAATCTCAGAAGCAATTTAGTTGAAAAGACTACTTACCAAACTAAGTACCATTCAACTTGTGTCTTCTTCACTTTCTCTCAATAACAACAACCAAAATCTTGTATTAGATATTCATAATATCTATTTTTTCTTATATTGTAATAACCAATTTGCAATTAAATTAGACAACAATCTTGTATTTTGTGCATGAATAAAGTATATAGAGGTGTATCATCATTTTATAAGGAAAATAGTGACTTTAGAAGAAATCAACTTGAATTATATTTCCACAAGTTCACATCTTGCAAATAACTTTATAAAAGCGTACTTTGAATCAAATTCAAACATCATCACATCTCTTTGGTATTAACTAGCTTCTTGACACTAATCAAATCTTATCAGTAAAACTTACATAATCCATAGCCTTCTTGTAGGTTCAATAATCTTTAAATTAGGTACAAAAAATCTTTTTATAATCTATTCATAGTTACTTTAACTAGCATATACTCCATGCATCAAATCCTTTCTAACTCCATAATATTTTTGAATTTAAAAAGCTTTAGATGCCACAAATTGCTTTGAACAAACAATCATAGATCTATAACATTTACACATGTCTAAACTATAAATTTTTTCTCTTTTATTGACTACTACTACCATTGTCATATTATAATACAACTATATGGTGAAAATATAATCAAGAATAAATTTCTAATTAATATCTATTTATCTTGGTTCAATAATAATTCAAATTATTTAAACATGGCTTTAATAAAA